TAATCTTAGAATATGGAGCTGAGATCAAATGAAGAATTATTCTCAGCTTCTGCTTGTCTACATTCAGGCTAATATTTCCCTCCTGCACAGCTCAATATGGTCTTAACATCCCATATAGTCACCACTTTTGTCCTGAGTAAATCCAAGGTCCATTCAGGTCCTCAACTGCTGGCAATAAATGGTGATTTCTCTTCAGTGCCTTAGAAATTCTGAGTTTATCTAAAGGCTTTCATACCAAGTGTGTGGTAAGTATTAATGCCCAATTTCCAGCCTTTTCAGTGATACAGTGAAGCCTGGTTGAAATGTGCAGTCAGTGGTTTTGCCAATTGTATTGATACCCTTAATTCATTTTGCTTTCGAGACATCCATTTTTTTACGTGTGGGGAGAGGGATCATGAATGTGTGAGCACTATTCCCATTCCGGGCTGAGGATATGGTGAGGTTGTACAGAGGTCAGATCTAAGCTTGCTCCAAAGCAAACGGCATGTGCATGTGTCAAGGTTTCTTCCTGACAGCCCACATTTGCCTGCTGGCTTCTGAATAGCTTTATTATACATCACCAGTGTATGACCACTTTTCCAGTCTCATGTTGCTGCTTTCAGTGTTGAGGGGTTACGTAGCAGCTGGCTCCACAGTCAGGCTGGATCCGAACTGGTGGCTGATCTAATAACACACATGCGAGCATGGCCCTTGAATTGCTGGCAGCCTTTGCCTACAGCACGGGTGTACTGACAGTCTCTGCTAAAGTCACTGCTTTGCACTGGAAATCTCCACGTCCTAAATCACTGCATAAAGGGAGGTGTTTCTTTCTATTTCCTACAGAGTGTGAGTCTTTATTGGGGTGTAAAGCGATTTTATATCCTGAGGCCCCTATATAAGGACATTTATTTTCCTTTGTCTTTCATACTGCTTTCCACACTGTATACTTCCATACTGTTAGCAGATATCAGCTAAACCATCCCTAAAAAGAAAGTTACAGTCTAATCTTGCTAGGCACCCTTTGACAGAAGGGGGAAGTAATTTATCTCCTAGAATAAAGTAGGAGTTTATTTGTGGTCTGTGAAACACAGAGGGGCAGGTGGAGGAGAAGACCATAATATGCCATAAAATTAGTATTTCCATTAAGTCTGTTTCATAGTGACCAGTAGAATAATGAGTTTTACTATCCAGGTCAATATTGCTTACTATTTGGAGATATTTGTTTCTTTCTCTCAACAATCCTTCCAGTAAACTGGAGTTGGGCATCCTGTGCACAATCCAGTGTTTAATGTCTTCAGAGATCTCAACTCTGCAGTGTAATTATCACCCTGTCTGCTTCTTGGTTTCAAATAAAGCATCTCTCATTTGGTCTTAGACCCCGCACCTTCATCGGTATTGTTTCAGTATTACTGGTGTTATTATGGGCAACAATATCTCACTCATCTTTGTCCCTTTTCCTCCAATGAGATAAAAGTAATGGTAATTTTTTTTCTAATGCTGTTCTTATTCCTGTGATCGAACAAGGTTGTCCTGAATGGGAATATTCTCTAGTTTTCTTCCCTGTCAGCTGTCATAAAAAAAAAAAAAAAAAAAGTAGAAATTTGTGCTAATGGCTTCTTTGCAGGTTGCCAGGTCTTTCATCATGATACCACTCAACCTACATGTTGTAGGGTTTTTTAAGATTTAATCTGTTTATAGAATATGTAAATAGCTTTTTGGGCTTTGTGGGCTTTTTATTTTTCAGGTAAACAGTTGAACAGTTACTGAATCAAGAATTATTTCAGTTCATAATTCATAACTTCATCAAAATTCTTCCACTAAAGTTGAAAGAATTAAACCATACAACTAGCAGGAGTAAAAAAACTAAAATGCTGTAAATATTAGTAAGTTCAGATGTACTTTTTACATTTCTTTGTGCTCAAACTCTTGCATATTCCATAGCTCCCAAAAGCTGTAGTTGTTTATGGTACAGATTGGAGTGAGATATTTTTATTTTGTATTTAATTAGTTGGATTTTCCTTCAATATTAAAGCAGCCTTGCTTTCTTGCTTTCATCAGAAAGTATTTAATATTGGATGTTTCTGTTTCTCCTAATAATTAAAAAAAAATATATCTATTTTTTATAATTGTTTTCAACTTTGTTATGGCAAGCACTGCAAAATTCATTTCAGAGAGGAGGGCCTGGTTAATTCAGCAATGGATTCCATCTGTGTTGACGTTGGCTGCACAGCCCAGCCCGCCCCAGCTGTATGAAGTAACTGGTGCTCCAGCAGGGTCGAATTCAGACAAGCACCATTTGTGTTTCATTTCCTTTTTTCTTTCTTTCTGAATAACATTTTGTCTAAAAACAAGGATTCCCCCCCCCACCCCGATCTTTATTGGAACCTCTTATTTGTTTCTGGATAAAAGACAGCTTTGAAGCCTCAGTGCTGTGTCAAGTCAAAATTGGAATGACTCTCAGAATGGGTATTTCCTGGGTGAATTAGGTTTAATAATGATAGGAATGCCATATACTGTATATACACCTGATGGGAAAATTGTTTAAGACTAGACCAAGATATTAATTTATCGGTCTAATGAAAGGGGTGGTATGAATCTACACTGCCCTAGGAACAAATCTTGACACCAACTCACTTGAGCAAGGCTCTGCCCACCTGCATGAAGGGATAAAATACAAAGTCTTTAGAGACAGTTCCCCCTATTTTGTCTAGCAGTTCAGGCCACACAGAACTGATGTGTGCAGGTGTGTAGGGAAAAAGTAATAATTGCTGACAATTTTCCAATATTAACATGTAATATTTTTTAATGTCCCTTATGCCTGTTGTGCAGTAGCAGCTAACCTTGAAAGACTGATTTATTTTGTGATGATGTGCAGATTTGCTGCTTGGGGGGGTGTTTTTCAGCAGAATTACAGGGACACAATGCTAAAAGTCATATTTTTTCATTATTTTTCTTCTTTGACAGCTAATTTCTCTAGCAAAACTGGTGAGGAAAACTCATTTGGTTCACACTGTAGATAACAGTAATTGCCATCTCTTATCTGTAATTGAGTGTGACATACGAAGTTGGCTGTATCATTTGATATAGCAATATTAGTGTAAATCTTGATCAGACCAAGAATTTCTATGTTCAGTCACCAATCAGTTAATTGTTCATGAGGAAGTTTCTAATTTTACTTGGTGCACAAAGGGAAGTCAGTGTTAGATGAGCTGAAGGGCAGCTTTAGCCACTAGGTCCTGGCCTTCCTGCACATTGTGAATACAAAACCACTGACTTGCAAGGTGGAATAACCTAGTCAATATGAATTTAACTTCAGGGCACACTAAGGGTGGGACTGCCCTTGCTGATATTGTTAAGAATTAGGTGTCTGGCATAGGTGTGTAATAATAATGAGATTTGGAGGTGTATAGCTTTGAAATATGCAAAGATGAATCCAGTCCTGAAAGTGCCCACAGAACTACCTTCATTACAGCTAATGCCACCTGTTATTAAAGCTCAAGTTTCTCCCACGTAACTTTAGGTCTATAGCAAAAGAGGACTATAGTCACTGTGGCTTCATCTGTGTTATATGGAAGGAGGCTCTATGCCTCTGCTAGACTGTTCAGCCCACCTGATTTACTGTCCAGAAGTGTCTGTATCTGACCACGAGCAAAGCCTACCCTGACTAGTTTCTTACTTTAGTACCTCTGTTCATTCTCCAAGTTTAGACTGGATCAGTCCAATGCAGACAAACACCATTACATCTCTTTCATTACATGAAAAAAGAGAAAGATGTATTGAAAAAATGTTACTGGAGAAATAAGACTCTGCTTAGAAGTTATATTTTTGTAATCATACAATAAAGCACTGCTGCTGGATGAAGAGCTTCAGTATTTTCTCTAATATGAAACTAAATATGGAACTAAAAAGCTGTGGCAAATATGAATGAGTTCTATCAAATACCGTTGTTTTGGTACATGTTAAGGAAATAGAACAGTAAAGTCACACAGAAGTCACAGAGTACTAAATTTACTTTGTTACTGTATCAACATACCAGCAGTCGGTCAGTTTTAAATTTAAAATAGGTTTATATTTAGCAAAGAAGCATTTTAGAATTTGACCTGGTATTTGAAATATTTATTTTATCATATAATAGTTTCTTGGTGTTCCAAACTTTTCATTGGTTGTAGCTGTGTTTTCACTATGTACAAATAGCATTTTAAAAATAATATCAATTTTAAGAATTGATTTGCCATTAAAAAATAAAATGCACAATGAAAATGTGGCCTAAATTATTCATCCTTGATCTCTGCCGCCCAGGTCATTTAACTTTTCTAGACTGTCCAACATTGTTTGCTGCTGTAGTATGAACTATTTTAGGTGTAAAATGCTTATAAATAACCCTTAAAACTGTAAATTAGTCTATGCACAGAAATCTCTTTCCTACATAGACCCTTTAGTTTTCTAGCTCATAAATAGAGAACTGTATCTTTTCAACATTTTTACCACTCAATGTTGTTGTAGAAATAACTTCTTTTAGTTGTCGCTATCTTGATTTTGTCATCCTTAAAAATGACAAGCAGGATCATTCTGTCCTTACATCCCCAAACGACTCAGTTGAAGGACATGCAAAAAGGTTCTGCTTCCTTATAATGTGTGGAGATAAAGTTCTTTACACTAATGATACTTTTTAAAATGCATCATTGTGTTATGAAGTATAATTAAGTCACTTTACTGCTTCAAATCTCAACCTCTACTTATTATTGTTTAATTATAACAACATATGAGGAGCTTGAGATTTAGACTTGTTTCCCTTCTAAAAGATGCTACCCTGAAGAACATGCTTTATTCAAAAAACAACATCTAATTCACCCCTCAAGAGCCTTGCCTTTAGAGATAATTAACATAAGAAATAGTCACAAGATCAGCCATTGGGTTTATAAGTCTGGTAGCATTAGCACTGATCATGAACAGATGGTATGACCATGTTTAATTTAACACTTTATAGGTATGTAATCACTTTTTCTTTTTTCTTTATATAGCCACCAGATAATGGGCCTCCACCATTACCAACATCTTCCCTTCCTGAAGGCTACTACGAAGAGGCAGTGCCACTTAGTCCTGGGAAGGCTCCTGAATATATCACTTCCAGTGAGTAATACATTTGCAGATCAGTTTCTGAGCAATTGGTAATTCCAGAGTCCTTCAACTTTTTTAGTATTTGACAGCTACATCTCTATTAGGTCTTTGGTGGTGTGTTGTAAGTGTGGCTTTGACCATTTGGGGCTGGTTCTGGTTATCTTCACTGGCCATGCATTGGTTTGGTTTGCAGAACTCTTTTGGTGTGCATAAACCAGGCTCCTTTTAGAGGAAACTAAACCTGTGGCTCAAGTTAGGTGCACATAAATATGTTTCAGCTGCTGTTGGAGACAGAGTCCAAATCAGCCACTGATCTTTTGGACAGCTTTGAACCATGAACATGGTAGAGTCATTGGGCCACGAGTCCAAAGTTAAGTATTGTCCAGAGTAAACCCCTCTAAACTGTTGATACTGTAAATGTAGAGATCTCAGAAACTGGTGCGGATCTGCAGGTCAACTGGTAAGCCTCTATTGCACTGAATTACTGGCTGAACTAAACCAATAAAAAGAAAAAAGGAGTTATTGAGAAGATGCAATTTTCTGATGACACATTGTGGAAAGAGATAAATCAGTCATACTGGCTCCCACAAGCCAAGTTTGATGCACATGACAGTATTTTTGTGACTACTCGTTCAGTGCAAAAGGCAGAGGGCTGCCTCCTAACTGAGCATCAGAACATGCTTCTGTGACACACAAATGCTCTTTCTCACATCCAAATACTTATCCAAAGACCTATGCGCTTAAGTGGAGCTATGCTGAGAGTGTGCTGATGAAACACTGAAATGACTGCTGTGTGAATTTACACAGGGTTAGTCAACAGGACATTACGTACCAAAAAATTGCAAAGATTTTCCTTTTTGCTGCTTTTTTATTGGCTGGGATAATTTAATACTTGTGTATTACCTAAGAAAATCTTGTTTTACCTAAGAAATTCAAGGTAAGAAAGAGCTTCATATACTGTAAAGCAAATGGAGGAACACACAGTCTTAGCAGAGTAGCAGAATCACTTCTCTCTTTTCATTTCCTCCCTTGAAATGCTGCAGGGTGGTCCTGTTACGCCCTGTAATAGGGTGAACTGCTGATTTGTGTTTTGTCATTAAACAAGAGCCATGCTCAGGCAGAAAAATATTAATAATACAAATATTAATAGCACTGCTAAAGGATCTCCTAGGGAAAAAAAAGACAAAATATGTAACTGATTTCTTATTGGAGTTAACCATCCAAATCCATAAAAATATTTAGGATATTAGTCTTAAAAGTTCATTAATAAACCCATAATTTAATATATATCCAGACATCTGAAGCTCTGTTAGCGCAATTTATCTCACTTGCTGTGATTTTGCTCTATTTTCATACGTACTGAGCTTCTTATCATCCCTTTTAATTTTTGTGAAAAGTATTATTTCGTCAGTAATGAAGTTGCTTTTAAATTCAGTATGCCATTAATAATATATCTCCACTCAAGCAAAACTTACAGTAAATCCAGTTCAGTGGTAATTAAAATAAGCCACCAAAGCAGTGTATTAACCAAAGATGTAACCTTAGCTGTTCAGACTGTTTGAGATGGAGAAGACCATAACAAAGAAGTGCTTAAAGTGTAAGAAGTGCAAGAATAAACTGTTAAACAAATGTTGGGATAGATAATATTATCATAAGTAAATATTCCTATGGAATATTTTTGTAATGTCATTAATAGCAAGGAGACTTACATACCATGTGTCCTACCTGTAAAATCAAACAGGAACTGAAGAAAAATGCAAAATACAGGTAGTGAAAATTAAATATCCATAACTTCTCCAAGTCCCTGTATTCCATCTGCAAACAAACACCTGCATGTAGATAAAAATAAGACTGTATATGCCTTGTCTGATAACTCTTCTTTCTCTTTATTAAAAGACACTGATCTGTATAATATACCTAAATTATTACAAACTAATCTTTGGAATATGCTATTACAAATAATGTGAAAGTCCACTGTGATTTTCACCCCTTAACAGTGGTAAATTTTGATGAAGATAAAAGTGAAAAGCCAATGTCAAAAGAAGCTAGAATAATAAGCAAATGCAGAAGGTACAAAAAAAAAAAAAAAGATATTAGCAGCACTGAAACATGTTGTATCAGTTCATCCTAGGTTTCTGAGACTTTAGTAGACTTAATAAAAACACTGCTTTGGAGAGACATTTTTCACTTTTTCTACACATGCTAGTTTGTGTCTCTGAGCCTGAAAGCCATGTTTTGGATGTGATACAGCAGTTTGGAGAAACAAAGAATTGAAGCAGGATGTGGCAAAGAGCAGCAAAGTTTCATCCTGGATGATATGAGTACTCCAAGGTGGTCATCCTTCGTGGTGCAAGTCACACAGCAAACTCTTCTTCTGGCCAAGAGTCCCACCAACCAAGGAAGAGAGAAACATGAGGGGTAGCTAATGGGCAGGATGTGGCAACAGGTCCCCAGAGATCCTGTTAGCCTGTGGGAGGACGGGAGCTTCAGAAGCTCCTGCTGGCTTTCATCCTCTCATAAACAGAGATTTGGAAGAACCTGCAACTGCTGTGCCAGCAGAGTCCCTCTGCTGATCATACAACTTACAGCTAACTTGAAATCTGCACTTAGACTGCATGTGAGCCACATAGGAAGAACCTGTAGGATATTTAACATCCAGAATTTTGATCTCTACTTTGAAGTCTCAGTCAGCACTTCCTACCGTTAATTTTTGAGAAACTGGTAAAACTTGCTGTAAGAAAAAAAAATAATATTAAATGTTGTGAGGAAAACCCAATGATTTAACCCAGGAACTTTTCTGAAAAGAAGGTGGGGTTAATGATAAGAAGAAAAACAACTTTTTGATATATGTCAAAGAGATAACCTATAATTTTATCCAAGGTGAAACCTTCTTTTCTGCAATACCAAAAAGTTAAATCATGTCCTAATGAGGAAGGAAAAACAATGTGTTAAAACAGATTCTGTTTTTGCATCCTTTTGATTGATGCACTTAAAAATGCGGATGGAGAAGGCATATCTGATAGACCATCCTCTGATAAGAAAATTTGACTGTCATGCAAACATCCCTTCTTCCCTGTGTACACAGAGTGTAGAAAAATGACCCAGATCCACTCTCTTGGGAAGACAATATTTGAGGAGTGTTCCTCCTGTACAGTCATGTTTCAAGTTGATCTGATGAAAATTAATCCCAGACACTTACATAGAAAAGATGGTTTCTTAATTTTGGAGGAAAAATCTCGTTAGTAATTAAACAGAAAAATTCTACCAGAATAGTATTTCCATATCTCAATATATGAGTAGTGACTTCTTACATCTGCTTCTTACCTCAAAAAAAAATTGTTTCAGAATAATATTATTGCTAAAACTAGAACAAAATCATAAATGAGGTAAAAGAGTATTGTAGAAACAGAGAAAACATCAAGGTGAAAATTTTGACAGTGATGTAGCTGTGACAAAGGTTGCTACTAAATTTGAAGAAGGGATGAGGAGGTTTAGGGCACCTAAGTATTACTTTTTTGAGATGTGAGAGGCAGGAGTTAAAGATGAAGTTCCCGGAGAGACAGCAACTTTAGGTTATCACAGCTTGTCTCTTAGCCCATGCATTTGGGAGAAGGCCTTCTTGAAGATGTTGATTTAATGACTAGACTTTATATCTTTATATTTGGTAACACCACATCAATCATTCTGCCTCTGCTTCAAACAGGCTGGCATGCTACTGTGTGTTTGAGAGTGGTCAGTGATCTCTCAAGCATTTCCTGATGTTTCTGTGTGAAAGTTTGTGGATAGCCACTCCAAAAGGAGGTTGGGGGGAGAGAAAGTTTTGTTTTGGTTCTGATTTTGGTGGGTTTTTGCTTAGATTTTTTTCCTGCTTCATGGGAAGGAGGAAGAGATGGATAAAGCAGCAAGTTCTACCAGATCTTACACATTCTTTTAAAAAAATATGCAAAAATAAGTACTCTGGAATAAATGTTTCCAAACATGTCAGTTTAAACATCTACTCTAAATTTTTCTTTCCTTCTCTTGATTTTTGTAAATCAATTGTAAAATTATAGTGTTTTTCCATTGGTAATCATCTGAGGCTTTTACCACTTGCCCGTATGGACCTGTCCCAAACTAAACACCCTGTAGCAGCATTGACTAGAAGACAATAATTAAATTAAAATTAAAAAAAAAAAAAAAAAATTCCCAGAGCTTCAAATTTTATTTTCAGTTCACTTTGTAATGAATATATGCTGTTTTGTACATTTTTGTGAAAACACAAATCACATCAGAATATCTATTCTCAATTCAGAGATGTGAGATCTGGATATATTCCATTCTGACTATGCACGTAGGGTGGAAATGATATAGAATGAGCTTTCCGGCAATCCACTCTCTTGTCCTCTTCCCAATTGTCCCAGGTCTCCTTCCTACATCCCAGCTGTGTCCTTAATACCTACCTAAAGCAACTGAGAGGTTCTCTTCCACCTTCTGGCCTAAACACATATCAAAGTCTACTTGAAGTGTTTATATGAAATTTCGGCTGTTGAAAATATTCTGATCAATTCTCCCTATAGAAGTATGTGCCAGTGGATAACAGGCATGCTTACAGGTGTTATTATCTGAAGGGCTTTATATATATATGTACCCACATAGATAAATAAGTATGAATAGTGCAAGAGGGGGTTCTGTGATAATGGCAAATTAGTTTTGTAGTTGATGGGTCTGCTAGAGCTCACTGCATTGTTGAAAATGAAAGGCCTGATCAAAGATTATTTAATAAAAAGGAATTTTGCCATTCCATCACCAAACTTGGAGCAGGATTAAGCTGTTTAGGCTAAGCACACAACAAAATGGTTTGTTGCAGAACACCTGTAACTCCTGCAGAATATGTAGTTCAAGGAATAGCATTGTCTATTCAACGCTAATTGTATCAGTGCAGGTGCTGTATTTGAGAATTATATGAAATATTATGATAGATAGATAGTGCTCTATAATGTACTCTTTGTCATATTCAGCATTTGTTTCTTGATACACTGTACTAATATTGACATTTCCGTGTCAACATTTTGCATTATGTAATAGGGCAAGATTAAGATGTGTCTCTGTAAAAGAATTATGAAAGATGAAGGTATCTGCCAAATAGTATTTTGAAGATGATAAAACACTACCTAATTCCAGCTGTGTATTTCCAGCTTATTCTTTCAATTAAAATTCCCAAGGTGTCAGTATGGGTCTTTTTTAAAGTTTCATAATGGAACACCATCTCTTATTCAATTAACTTAACGTATTGATACTGCTAAGCACTGAAACAGCGATTTGTTCATGGCTGACTTTCAAAAGCATTAACTTAAAATGAACCCTGTTGAGATTTCCAGTTATTTCAGTACACTTTATGACTTAATGTTTTAACTTGGCACTTTTATGCTTTTCTCAAAGATTATGACTCAGATGCTATGAGCAGCTCTTATGAATCCTACGATGAAGAGGAGGAGGATGGAAAGGGGAAGAAAATGAGACATCAGTGGCCTTCTGAGGAAGCCTCTATGGATCTGGTGAAGGATGCCAAAATCTGTGCCTTCCTCCTTAGAAAGAAACGATTTGGGCAATGGACCAAATTACTGTGTGTTATCAAAGAAAACAAACTACTGGTAATTTTTATTTTTATCTAGCTATATTTACTTTGCACATTTGAAGTGATACTTTTACACGAATCTGTTTTTTGGAATATATTCTGCAAACAGTGGCCAAGTCTACAGTAACCTTACCAAAAAGTTTGGTCATGATTTACTCAAGAAATAGAGAAGCACTGAAATTTTAAGTGTATCATGTAGCCACCTAGGACTTTGATTTTTATTGCACTTAAACCCAAACAGTTCCCTGATATTGGAAAGAGTCTGGCCTATTATCTTCTAACATATTTCATTTAGGAAAAAAAATGCTGAAACTGTAAATCCAATCTTTCATTCCCTGCGGACAAAAAAATCTCATAGGGAGCCTTGTGTATGAGCTGTTGGATCAGACCGCTGGAGAGAACAGTCCCTTGTTAGACTGAGAATTCACTTGGCAGCATATGCTGTGGTAATATATACACTTTAAACTAAACCTTTGCCATCTGTTCTGTGGTAATTACAGATGCAGTATTCACATGATGCACAGCTGCATTATAGAAAGGAAAGAAACAAGTGGATATATTTGTTCCTTAAGCAAATCTGTTCTGTTTCTTTCTGATTAGAGGCATCAGTGGAAGATTTCATACATTAGTAAATTATCTGCTCATAGATGACTTTTTATTTTTTGAAAAGAGAGCCTAATTGAGGGAAAGACTTATTTCTGTGTCATTTTAAGCAAACTAATGCTTACAGTAATAAGTAAGTTGGGGTCTTAGGCACTCCCTGCCTTCCCTTCAGGTGTTTCCAACAGTTGTAACTAATTATGTAACTAATAATTACTGCAATATCCCAAATGTTAAAAGCTGATTAACAGGTGACTGTACATTTTCTGTAGAACCTCATTATTCTACGCTGATACATTGTAACTTAGGTGTGTTCACTTTCCAAGTATATTTGTGCTTATGGCTATATAGGAAATAACAGGACATGAAGTAGAGGCAAGACGTTTTTGAAACTGTAGTTGGAATGAATTTGGTGGTATTCAGTGTTTACTGAGGATTTAATTTTTTTATCATCCTCTATTTAAATGTTGAAAATAATGTTGATTCTGATTCAGTTTTTATTATATTGTTATAATGCCATTATGCTCAGTCCACCTTTTTATCACCATATGTCAGGGTCATATCAGATTTCAGGACTGTCTGATAACAGCTTGAACAAAAGAGAGAAGGCAAAAAGGAAAGAAACAGATTTTTCTCTGAAGTCACACAATATTTCTTCTACAATTATGTTTTTTGTTCTCTACAGAAATGTTATTTTTTCTATTTTCACTTCCTTTAGCCACATGTGTGGTCTGAAAAAGCTTTTTTTTTTTTTTTTTTTCCTTATGGGGATTGTCTTTCAGTAATTCCGTAGTGGGGATTAAGAAAATAAAAATCACAATAGGAGTCTAATGACCAAGTTACACAAGATTAGTTTATTGTTTGAAGGAGGACTTAGACATTTAACTTATGAGATATGCAAGTAAAACAAATATATGTTCTTAGGGATTAGTAATTGCTTGTGTTATAAATGCAGCTGTCATTGTAAAACCAAAATATTTTAATTAGAATTAGACATTAGAAATAACTTTTAGTAGAGAATTGTTTTTCACTTAAAGTCCTTTAATATAAAAATACTTCCGTTTTAGTAATGTAAAATTATAAATAAAATATTTAAATTAATATAAAGGGAATTGTATGCTGTTTATTGCTTAAAGTGACTAATGTGTGTTTTCAAGATTTCATAGTTTGAAAACTTAAAATTTTTTTAATGTTGGAAACAAAATCTGTGATCAAGCTAGAGAAACTTTGACTTAATGGCTTTTGAAGAGGGAAGGAGGTTTATGAGTCATTTGCAGAGACTGGTTTTGCAGGGGGGTTGTATTTACTCAGCGTAAGTTGCAGTGTTTATAACATACTTTTAACAGCTACTGTCTTCCTGACAGTTGCATCATGACATGAATACTGCTGCAGACATGCAGAAGTTCATGTGCTTGTCTCTGTTCACATTTATAGTCAGCTATTCTATGTATGCATATACTAACTAGTCTTTATTAGCAAATACATTCTTCATTACCAGACATCTCTTTAGCCTTCATGCTTATTTGTATGAGTGAAAGCCCAGTTTACATAAATACATAAAATAGCTGGGCATTCATGTACACAGTTAAACGTTGTTCCGTAGTCTGGCACTACAACAACTTTAGGAACCTCGGCTGCACTGATGCGTTGGAAGATGGGAATAGGGACTGGGTCTATCGGACAAGTGATGTAATGTGGAACTCTCCATCTTTAGATCACCAGTTCAAACACAGAGCAGGTCGTCAGTGATCCAGCATGTAATGACTGTTCACTGACAACATTTAGTAATGAGGGAAAAAAACATCATGTAAGTCATATAGTTTTAGCCAGGAGCTTACAGAGCAAACTAACATGAAGATTTCTGCAGTTTTGCGCAGTGACTATTACACTGTATTAGCTGGAAAAGTGGGAATTTGCACACTTTCCACATCGTGACAATTTTTAAAATTTATCTAAAGAAAAAGAACATCTGACTAAAGCATGTGCCAGTGTCTCTGAAACTGCAGCGTGTAAGCACTGATGTAGATTTGCCTTGATAAGCTAGGCTGTTGCTAGAGGGCAGGGTAAACATCTGGGCTTTAAAGTCATTACCTGTACAAATTTATTCTGCTGCTACATGGGAACAGATATCCTAAATCACCCTCTTCCTACCTCAGCAAGGTCAAGGTTGAGTCATAAGGATAATGCAGAGAAGCTTAATGTTCTCCATATGTTGTACCTGTCCTGCAATAAAATATGTCTATTAATGTCAGTCTGGAAGTAATTTGGTGTTACAGAGGGAATGAGAAGGAGATAAGCAAAGTTGGCATTGGCCTAACTCTGAGGTATGTTGTAAAGGGGCGCATGAAAAATACTAACAATTAAAAAATAGCATTTCTATATAATAACAGCTTTCCTTCAAGGTTCAGAAAGGTGATATCTAACTTTTGAACTTTCCTTACCTTTATTTAGTGTTACAAAAGTTCCAAGGACCAGCAGCCCCAGATGGAGCTGCTCCTGAATGACTGCAGTATCACATACATTCCCAAAGACAGCAAAAAGAAGAAGCATGAGCTGAAAATCTCACACCAAGGAGCAGATGCCCTGGTTCTGGCAGTGCAGAGCAAAGAGCAGGCAGAACAGTGGCTAAAGGTAAGGGGGGATTTCTGACCAGGAGCTTTTCCACCCACAAAGTACTTCCATTGCTGGCTTAGTTGACATTAATAACTGAGATAGACGGCAACTTTCATGCAAATCCAGACCACTTAAATCCCATCTAATTTGGGACTGCAGAAATGCAAACTTAATATTCAGGCCTCGAAGCAACTCCTTGGGAAACCAGAAGCTGAGTATTACACAGCTGCTGCTGCTGTGTATGGTTTTCACTGAAAATTGCACAATAATCTGGCACCAAGAGGAGAGGTGACAAATTCCCTTCCATTTTCATCTCCAGTTCATTCTCCAGAAAGCTTTAGTGGTTAGGGCACATGAGTAATGAGCTGAAGGTTCAAATTACCTAAGGTGGAGGGTGCTGGGACCCAGATTGCTTTTTGCAGTGACTTCTCCTGTAGACCTATGGCTACCACTATAGCCTACTGCCACAGGCTACCCTGCAAAAATTTGCCATCCTAACATCACAGTCACCTTTTTAAAAAGAAAGATGTCTAAGGAGACACCTGTTTGAATTGCTCTGGATGGAGAAAAATCCTTCAGCTTCCTGAAGTCAAAATTTGCTAATCGTGCTTTAGCAGCATATCATCTGTTACAGTTTGTTCTGGGAATGCAGACTTCTGAGAAATGGGTTTTTGTCATTGAATCATAGAATGGTTTTGGTTGGAAGGGACCTTAAAGATCATCTAGTCCCACCCCCCTGCCACAGGCAGGGACACCTTCCACTAGACCAGGTTGCTCAAAGCCCCATCCAACCTGGCCTTGAACCCTTCCAGGGAGGGGTTATCCACAACTTCCCTGGGCAACCTGTGCCAGTGTCTCACCACCCTCACATTAAAGAATTTCTTCCTTACATCTAATCAAAATCTGTCCTCTTTCAGTTTAAAACCATTACCCCTTGTCATATTACTACACGTCCTGTTAAAAGGCCCCTCTCCATCTTTCCCACAGGCCCCCTTTAAATACTGGAAGGCCACTATAAGATCTCCCTGGATCCTTCTCTTCTCAGGCTGAACAACCCCAACTCTCTCAGCCTGTCTTCACAGGGGAGGTGCTCCAGCCCCCTGATCATTTTCATGGCTTCTTCTGGACCTGCTCAAGCAGGTTCATGTCCTTATTGTGTTGTGGGCCCCAGAACTGGACACAGCACTGCAGGTGGGGTCTCACAAGAGTAGAGTAGAGTGGGAGAATCTCCTCCCTTGACGTGCTGGGTGCACTTCTCTTGGTGCAGCCAAGGATACTGTCGGCTTTCTGGGATGCAAGTGCACTTTTCTGCCTCACAGTCAGTTTTCCATCTGCTAATATCCCCAAGTCCTTCTCTGCAGGGCTGATCTCAATCTACCCATCGCCCAGCCCATATCTGTGCATGGGATTGCCTCAACCCATGTGCAGGGTCTTGCACTTGGCCTTGTTGAACTTCATGAGGTTTGCACAGGCCCATCTCTCAAGCCTGTCAAGGTCCCTCTGGACAGCATCCCTTCCCTCCAGCATGTCAACCACACCACACAGCTTGGTGTTGTCAACAAATTTGCTGACATTGCACTCGATCCCACTGTCCATGTCGCCAACAAAGGTGTTAAACAGCGCCAGTCCCAATACTGACCCCTGAGGAACACCACTCATCAGTGCTCTCCACTTGGACATCGAGCCACTGACCTCAACTCTTTGTGTGGAACCATCCAGCCAATTCCTTATCTGTCAAATACACGTCTCTCCAATTTGGAGACAAGGATGTTGTGTGGGACAGTGTCAAACGCTTTGCATGAGTTCAGGTAAGTGATGTCAGCTGCTCTTCCTTTATCCACCAACACTGTAATCCTGTTGTAGAATGCCACCAAATTTGTCAGCATGATTTTCCCTTAGTGAAGCCATGTTGGCTGTCACCAATCACCTCCTTGTTTTCCATGTGCCCTAGCATAGTTTCCAGGAAGATCCACTCCATGATCTTTCTGGGCACAGACGTGAGACTGACTAGCCTGTAGTTTCCCAGGTCTTCCTCTTTTCCCTTTTTAAAAATCATCTTACGCTCCTTTGTGTTCTTTCTGCAAATGTAGAAGATCACAATGCAAGGTCTGCAGTTTTAGATCCTAACCAGATTACTAGTATTTATGTTGGACTTTGCCAGTTTCAAATGTGAAGGTCAGTGAAGTAGTGTGGGAAACTATCACTGCAGTTTCAGTAGCTTGTTTTAAGACCTTGAAATCCAGCTTTTTAAATGCCTGTAAAAGTCTGAATGTGTAAGATTCATCAGGCATTCTCCATGCTGTGCTCTGATCTAACCTTATATGGTACTTATTTTTCTAAGAATAAATTGTGAGGTTTTTCCAAATACAATCAAATTAAACATGGAGGAATTTCTTCATGGCAGATAGTTTTTCTGCAGAAGAGGAAGACATAAATTGTAGCTTAAGAGGTATAAGTTCTGCTGTGGGCTAATTTACTAAATGGAAAATTAATCTGTAATTTCCTATTTTGCAATATTTGAATATACCTTTTGGGGGTTTGTGGTTTGTGTGTGTGTGTGTGTGTTTGGTTTTGACTGCGAGTCTGTATCTTAGCTTAGAAAATGCACTTTCTATTGTCTTTTTAATATAAACTAATCACAGCCATGTATTTGTTAGGCTTCTTCTAACATAGGTATCTTGTTTTAAGATTTAAAGTCTAGCACCATCCAAGCATCCCACTAATTCACCTACAGTTTCAGAAACACTGATTGGAATGAAAAGAAATTCATAAGTCATATTCTTTTCCAAGCGAATTCCGCTGCGGTGAGATCATAGTAACTGCACCATTATTTCCTGTGTTGTTCTAAACTTGGGTTTGGTAATACTGAATTCATTGGCATTTATCAGACTTTCTTTCATAATTTTTTTTTTTTTAAGTTGTACATAAAGCACTCCGTACACAGACAGACAGAGCAGTGCTAGTTTTTTCATATACCAGATGCATTCCTGCTACTTAGGAAAAAAAAAAAAAAAGTTTTTGTGCAGTTGCATGTTAACAAAGTTGTGTGTGCTGAGGGTGAATGGCCAGACAGTATGTTATCTGCAAAGCACTTAGAGGCAGTCTGACAGCACTTTATTTAGTTCCTTCATGCTGCAAAGCTCTCTCTTAATAAAATTCTTTTGAGTACATGGCAGCACTACTGTACGCTCAACTTCCAAGTCCTCAGTGCTGCTGCAGCACTCTGTTATCTGTAGAACAAATTGCCTATCCAACAGCTCACCAAAAATCATCTGTGCAGCTCTTACAACAGCTCCAATGTGTTCAAGAAGTATAGCTTTTTGAGAAGAAAAACAGTGGGGTTTGTATTTTTAAAAATGTAGCAAAATTTAAGGGATTTTTTTATTATTATGAAAATAATTTGTTTTTTGCTCATTCAGGCCTTACTTAAAATGAGCTTCTGAAAATCTTGTGTAGGAATGCTTTGTGTAGGAAGTTCCTATACTGAGAAAGAGATCACTGCTTGGCAGTAGTAGTTTGAGTGGTCCCTGCCTGTCACTCAGAGGGCATGGGTCCACTCCAGCACTCTGTCACCTGTGTGTGTTTTCTGTAGGTAATAAAATGGGCAGATTCAGAGAACGACAATGAGAAAGACCTCTTCAACCATATTTTTAAATTATAAGATTCCTTGTCTGTCAAAGATACTGTACCAATATGTGCCAGTGGAGGCAGGTTATCACTCAGTGAGTTCTCATGAATTAATATATAAGTGTCAAATTAAAGCTTTACTCTTGAGCCTGAAAAGCTTAAAGAGGCTTTGGAGGCCAGATTTTCCCATAGAGGCTAAGCTAGATGACTTTTTTTTTTAAAGTCAGATGCTATCAGTATATAATAAATAATTTTAAAATATCTATCAGAAGACAAGTGTGAAATAAATGCAGAATATTTTAGACCTTTTTTGTAACAAAGACACCAAAAAATCCCAGCTGATAAACCTGGTGCAAATTGAAGTCTAGACTGGAAACCACAAGGGGAGTTTCAGTTTTACCAGCTAACAAATGCTTGATGAAAAAAAGATAGCTGATGTCACCAAAGAGCCTGTCAGGATTTTAAAGCAAGGAGCATGACTAGTATAAATTCAGGCTAGAGCTGAGATCATAGCAGTAATATGGTGGGCAATATGAAGTGGTGGAATTTTCCAGACTTCAGTCCTAAAATGATCCCACAAAAATGTACATGAAAAAATGTGTGCAGTTGCACACTCTGACCCCAAAATGAGCTTTTCCCATACGCGCTTGAGTATATGTGCATCTGTGTGTGCTCTTGTGAATTTGTGGTCAAGTAAGGTCTTAAATCTACCTGTTTGTCTCAGCACATCCAACAGGCTGCTGAAACTACACTTATTTGTCAGCATCCCTGGGAAATTCTACATTAAAAATAAAAGGACTACTAAGAACATGGCATTACAAGAACATGCTTGTTTAGTGGCTCTATTCATCCAGATGAATGTGTTCTGTGTGCAGGACCTTCGGACTAGGCCACAGAAAACTGCTCTTAATATTAAAAATAAATAGATGCCAAAGAGATTAAGTTCTGAAGTAGCTTCTTGTTGAAGACTGGGAGAATAAAGAAATGGTCATGGTGTCCGGTCCCAAAGCCTTCTTTTCTTAGCATTGCCTCCTGCAAAAATGTATTTCTGAATTATCATGCCAGAGAGGTAATCTATCATTTTGAAGTACTGGCCTTGATTTTCATTTTTGCTCCATGTTAGTCACCCTTTGTTAATTTTTCTTCATTTTATGGTGTGCAGCCTTTTTGCAGCAGTCTCTTCAGTTGAGGGGCTGTAATTGAGCAGTGAATCTTTCAGGCATAAGTAGACGTTTCTGCATCTATCATTTTGACAATGTTCACTCAGTTCTGAACTTGTAGTAAGAGGGATTTTTTGCCCTGAAGAGATAAGAAAATCAAGGTTGTGACTGTATCTGGTTATCCAGAGACCCTGCAATACTCCTTGTAGGGCTGTTAATCTGGTTGTCCTA